TAGCCGTGGCTCCAACGGTCCGGGCGACACTGTTAGCACCCCCCAGCTCGTGCGGCTCGGCCAGCGTTACTGCCCAGGGTCTGGATGCAGAGATCAGAACGGAAGTAGTAGATATTCCCAGCAGTGCAGAGGCCAGCTCCCACCTCAAACCCATCTGGCTCCAGCCGGGTGCTCAGAGCAGGGTTAAGGGACGTGGAGATCAGAACCCCCCCCCTCAAACCCATCTGGCTCCAGCCGGGTGCTCAGAGCAGGGTTAAGGGACGTGGAGATCAGACCCCCCCCCCGAGAATGCGGGTGTAGATGGGGGGAGGCGCGAGAGTTACTGACCATGTTCCCACCTCATCATGTGACGCAGACGTTGCTTCAGTAGCCAATCAGCACCGACAATTTCCCTGACTTTCGGAAGGACTCAGGCCCCATGGATCCTGGCTTTGCAGAACAACTAACACCACGCCCAGTACAATTGCACCCAGATGTGCGCCAGCATTTGCTTGGCTCGCACGGACGGGCATCCAGCTGTGTTCAAACAGCAGCACTGAAACCTGGGTAGGAATCAAAGCTAGATGACGACGCCTCTTTCACTTCACCCCATCCACACGGCACCGGATTACTTCAGCTACAGCTGTGCTGAAGCTTTTTGCAGCTGCTCGAAAGCCAGGGCACCTATCGTGTTATGTGTAGCAGAGGAATATCTATGGGCCCCAAGAGGGGTTGTGCCCCTGTTCTACTAAACCCTGGCCACCCACACAAGAGTTTACATTCTGAGCTGACAAGTGGTGGGAGGGGAAACTGAGGCACACAACTGGGAAATGATTTGTCTTATCCTAAGGAACAGGGACTGGGAAAAGAATGAACCCCCCCCAGACCCCTTTCTAAGAAGCTGCATGATGCAAACAGCTGGCTTTCCTTCCTTCCTTAGGACCCCGAGTTCTTGGCATCTGTGCCCTGGGGGGAGTTTGGGGATGCCCGCTTCCTGCTTCCCAGGAAAGGCCTGAAGGAGAACTCCCCCAAAAAGCCGGAAGAAGCCAGTCGGAAAGCGCCAGGGAGTGAGAGCCACAAGGCCAGGAGGTGCAAGCACGTGGCCCCAACGGGTACCAGCCCGGATCCCGGGAAAGAGGTGACTGACCTGAAGGACCAGCTGGAGGCCTTGAAGTGCCAGGTACGTTTGTGTCCACAAGGAAGGGCAGAAGCGGGTGGGGACGGCAGAGAAGAGAAGAACTACACTGAACGGCTTGCCCAGGCAGGCGGGAGAGGGAGTATTCTCAGGCTAGCGTCCAGGGGCTGTGCAGGAGGGACTGAGTATTGGCCCTTTTGGCTACTGCTGTCTGATCACGCTCGCTCTGCTCCTTCACTAACTCCCCCTCCCCCTCTTCCTGCATCATTTTAATCCCCTCTCCGCCCAGTCTGGAAGCACTCTTCCAGCCCCACTCGTTAGCAGGCAAGCAGTGTTTCTGACTGGCTAGAACACAGGACCTGGGTCCTTGTCCCGGCTCTGACACTGGTTTGTTGGGTAACCTTGGGCATGTCACTTTGTCTCTGCGCCTCACTTTCCCCCTCGGTAGGGGACAATGATCCTGGAGGATTTGCCAACGGCTTTAGAAGAATGAGGTATTATTACTGGAGTAGCAAGGGGAAGGCATTTACATGGCCAGTCCCCAAACGGTGGCAGCGCCCCTCGCCTGCTAATCAGCACAAGACCATAGCCTTATCCCTCCCTAGCCTGCTGACTGGTTACCCAGCCCTGACAGAGCTTCCAAGCCCCTACTGATGGGCATCCCTCCCTGCTTCCACAGACAGAAATTTATGAGGCGGATTACAGGACAGAACACAAAGACCGGGAGCGGATCAAAGCGGAGAACGAGAAGCTCCGGAAGAAGGAGGAGGAGATGAGGCAGCAGATGGTACTTCTGCGAGAGCAGGTGAGTCCCTGAATGCACTGGCCAGCCTGGAAACACAGCTCAGCTGCAGGGAAGGTACAGCAACAACCAGCAAGGAGGCTTTCCCAATAACATGGGGCTTGCCCTAGTCAGACCTTTGACCCTGCTGATTCTGTCTCCTGTGTCTGGCACTGACCAGCGCGTGACGCATGAGAAAATGGGGGAGACACTTTATAATATACCTTGCAAGTTTTTCTGCCTCCAGTTAACAGAGCTGTGTGCGCAGGGGAATCCTTTCAGAACCCCGACAGGCCCCCCTAAGCAGGAGATGCCGTTTTCCATATTGTCTTTTGGTTTGCAAGTGACACCCCTTAGCTCGTGTTATCTGACAGAGTCAATAACACTTCCTCATTCACCGTCTCCACCCCATAGACAGACCTCTATCATATCCCCCCATCATCTCTTTCAATCCAAAACGCCCCAATTGTATGACTCTCTCTTCAGAAGGAAGCTTAAACATTTTCGCTGCCTTTTCCATTTCTAATACATCTTTTTTGAGAGGGGGTGGCCAGAACTGCCCCCAGTATTCCAGGCCTGGATTTAAATAACGGCATTATGGTATTTTCTGTCTTACGATCGGTCCCTTACATGGTTCGCTTTTTTTGGCTGCTGCTGCACATTGTGGAGAGTTCTCTGAAAACACCCAGGACTCCGAGATCTCCCGAGCTAATTTAGACGCTTGGAGGTTGGACTATGGCTTTCACTGAGCATTACTTTGCAGTTATCAATGGGGAATTTTCTCCACTGTTTTTGTTGCCCAGTCCTGTTTGTGTAGCTGGGGTGGGGGCTGGTACAGATAAAGCACCGGCTTACGTGCCAGCTACTAAGTAGCTGAATAGCTGGCCAGGTTAGTTTGATCTTTGGAAAGTCCTGGCCAGGTGGGAACAGCTGGTTGGAAAACAGAAGATGGGAGCAATTCCCTCCATGAATCAGTGCGAGCTGCGCTGACACCGAGTTCCAAACCGGTTCCTGGTGCGAGTCGCACGAGAGCGAGTGCCACGGCGGCACGGAGCTGTCCAGAGCTCTCCCTGCTCACTTTTGTTTCCCCTTTGCCTTCCCTGCAGCTTAAGATCTTTGAGGATGACTTCCGGAAGGAGCGGTCAGACAAGCAGCTGCTTCAGCGCCTCCTAAAGAGCAAGGCCGGCTCCAAGGAGCCCATCCTGGTGCATCGCTGCAACGGGCACGAGAGGCTGCCGGTCCCCACCTCGCCCGCGCACTCAGCTTCCACCACCGCCAAGCGAGGCGGCTGCAGCAAGCACTGCGAGAAACACAGCCACAAGCTGGGCGAGTGCGCCAAGCACCACGCACGGGAGACTGCGGCGCACACGGCCCCGCCCAGCGACTACTAGGACGAAGACACGGGTCTTCCCGGCAGCACTTTTTTAAGCTAACACACGGGGTCGCCCGCAGGCGCCTGCTGCGGGGTGCGGGCCGCCAGCCCCAGGATGCAGCAAGCTCTCCCCACGAGGCCGGCGGGAGATGCTTTCGAACACCATAGATGCTTTCGGCAGCCAGGTCTTTCATTGGCGAGCGCGCCGACCAATCAGGGCCAGGGCTAATCTCTTCCAGCCAGTCCCATCTTGCTCCCGGGGCGTCGCCTGCTTCTGTCCGCCCTGCAAGGAATTCCGGGGCGGGGAACGCTGAACAAGAGGCGTGGCCCTTGGCCCTGCATCAAGAAGAGGGTCACACAGAAAAGGCCCTTAGACCCTGTGGGGCGAGGCTAGCGTCTGGAAAGGGCTCACCCCAGCTGTCCTCCCTGGAGGTCAGGAGTCCTTAGCTGTAAGCCATCCTATACGCTAGCAGCACCTCCCCATGCTGCTGCTGCTCCAGCAAAGGGTTCCTCAGCGCTTCGTTCTGATTCTCGAGGGATTGCTGCAGCTCCTTGCTCCAGCCAGCAAGGACTGGGGACAGCTGTTACCTTTATTTATTTGAACCAATCTCCCGGATCCTATGGGGCTGGTACTTTATTCAAGTGATTACAAAATAAATTAAAGAAAGACAAATGCTCCCCTTCCTTCTGTTTCCCATGTGCCTGTAAGACCAGAGCAAAGGCGCGTTCTTTCCTTCCTTAAACACCAAGAACTGTGGATTTGGGAGCCGGCTCGACAGCACCGGCGGTGAAAGCTACCTACCAACAACGAAGCCAAGCCCGGGGAGCAGCAGGGCCCGCTTCCCCTGCTCCGAGCAGTCCCTGGCTCGGGGACCGTTCAGTCTTTGTGACCCCTCTCTGCCTCCAAAAGAAGGAGGCACAACCAGCTTCCTGGCAACACTAGACTGTTGCCTGTTAGCAACTGGGCTGAGAACAACGAGTCTCAGTCTCTGCTTGGCGACCGCTGACCGAGACAAAAGCCTCGAATTCCATCAAGGGGTTTAAAATCCAGTTTGAGGCCTTTCAGGCTCTCCTGTCCCTACTGAAGGCAGCCACCGAATGGGCCAGGTTACCTGCTGTCCAAAGCCAGAGCAGGACTATTTGATGCTACACGCTGTGGCACAGAGGAGATGCCTGTGCTTATGGGACGCACGGATGTGTCGGCTCAGACCCCAGCAATGAAGATGGCTCAGCTACTTAGGAGCCCAGATGAGCAGGTCCGAGCCATCGCAGCCGGGCTGCTGGAACTTCAGAAACACCCGCGTGTGCCAGAAGTTCTGGCAAACACCCGGAGAGCGATGGATGGGTCGTAGTGGGTCAGCTGCTTCAACTGTCTCATTGGACAGAGGGGGAAGGTCCCCAGGATCCCTTTGGGAGGCTGTAGAAAGTCTCCAAATTACAGAGCATCTTATCTTTGGGGTCAAGCGCGAATCTCAAGTCTGAGGTAGCTTCATAGCCAAGCAGCTTCCGTAGCCACTCGACAAAGTGCAGCTCTCCTGCACGTCAGCTTCCTTCACTAGTCAGCAACAGAGCGGCCAGGCGGGGCGAGACCAATGGTCCAGCCAGCCCAGTGTCCTGTCTGCCGACAGCGGCCAATGCCAGGCGCCTCAGAGGAAGGGAACACAACAGGGAATCCTCACATGGTCCCTCCCGTCACCCATTCCCAGCTTCGGGCAACAGTGCTCGGGGCACATCCCAGGTTGGTTTTACATCCCTGCCCCTCCTGGCTAATGGCCATCGATGGAACTCGCAGCACTAAGCAAACCAGACTGGGCTTGGGGTTTTTTTTTTGTCCCGGAGCGGCGCTATCTAGTCTCTACTGCCTGCCTTTGCAGAGAGGCATCAATTTACACTGGCACCTCGCAGCCCGTCTGCCTGGGGACCAGAAAGCACGGTGATGGCTTGGCTGTTTCCTCTAAAGCAGGGGTGGGCAATAATTTTTGGCCGGTGCAGCCCAGGAGGGGCAGAGCCAGAATGCATCGAAGCCAGCCCGCGATGGCCCTTTTTCCACCCCTGCTCTAAGGTGTCTAGTTTTTTTTTTCAAATAACTAGAAGAGCCTCTCGAATTATTTTTTCCCCTAAAATTGTATCGTGGCTATCGAGTACCAGCATGACAAACACCCAGCATATTGCCTATAGTGTAGGAAAGCTTTAGTGAGTAGATGAGCATCCGTCCTTAAGCTGACATCTCATTTCCCTCCCTCGTGTTATGCCCGTGGAAGGACGTAGAGGAGGGCATATTCAGTCAGTCACCAAACTGCTGGGAGACTGCTGTACTTAGCTGAGGTTACAGATGTGGAAACTGAGGCACATGGAGATTATGTGACTTGCCCAAGGCCATGCAATGAGGCAGTGTCAGTGTTGGAAATGGAACTTGGGTCTCCCAGCTCCTAGATCAAACGTCCAACTCTTACAAGTGGACGGTGTTAGGAGATAGTAACACTGGGAGGTATGCAAGAGCCCAAGCTGAAGAGAGAGTAATTCAGAGGTTTTTAAGGCCAGCAGGCACCACTGGGACCTGCAGTACACAGGCCACAGCCTTTCCCCTAATATTTGCGGCAGCGTAGAGAATTATTTCTTTGCCGTGTGATTACAATCAAGTCACCCCACCAATGGGTGCACCTGCCAATGGACCAAACCACCTTCCTTACCTGCAGCCCTCGCGGAACTAATCGCGCCCGTCGTGTTCATTCCAGCCCTCGCAGGCACTTGCCATGCCTCCAGTTTCAACACCAACCAGAAATGTGATCACTGAACACAGAGCAAAGGAACACGCAACAAGCAGCCACTCAAGACCACAGCAGTAGCCCGGTCTGCCTTCCTCCCCGTATGTAAGGGAGACCTGTCTTACTCATAACCAGGCGCAATTGGTGGGGAGGATGGAGAGAAGGACATTAGCCATAAATCTTTGTTTTTTTTCAAACCCATCACTTTTGGCCATTTGAATCTCCGTTTGTGGTACAGTCACTCAGCCCCCCCTGCAGGCCAGAGCCCCTGCTAGCCCAGCCAAACGCAGCATATCGCTAACAACTTGTGGTACACTGAGCATGTAAGTCGAAAAATCAGCACAATCCCAGGCTTCCTGACAGCACAACTCCCAACCCCCTCCGCCCAGGGCTGTTGGAGACAGCGCCCGTCGCTATTTGCATATCACCCACGGTACAAAGCCACGGCCGTACCTTCGCTAGGTTCCCCTCCTTGCACCCCATTGTACTGAAAGCCTCTTGCTTTGCTACGGGGCTACTCCCTACCCAAGTGACTGTCGAGGAGGGTGTACATTTCCTCCTTACATTAATTATATAAGCTCAAATGTATGGCCTAGAACTCCAGGAAGGACGAAGGGCTGGTACGGTTGTTCTTTACCTCAGGACATGCAGGTTCTTTGAGTCCTATCACGTTTTCCATCAAACATCTAATAGCTCCTGTGCCCGTCTGCAGCACCACTGAAGAGTGGATTGCTCTTTCTATGAGGGATGTAAAATCCCCATCAATCAGTTAACCATTAGGTTAACCTACCATTTAACCAATTAAGTGGGATCTCACCCTAGTCCTGGGGCGGCTGCTGCCGCCAGCCACAAAAAACTCCCAGCCCTAGAGCTAGGGTTGCTGCCAGCTCCCGGTCCTTCTGGGGTGGGCTGCGGGCAGGGAGCTGCTCCCGGGCACCGCTTAACCTAGTAAGCAGCGCCCAGTAATTGATTACCCATTCACATCCCTACGTTCTATACCTGCAGTGGACTCTGGCTGTGATGCCCTCAAGTAAGGTATCTGGCCAGCTACTAGTTTAGACCCAACAGCTGCTGATGCTGCTCAAGCCTGATTGTGGTTTATTGCTACACGAGTGGCCATTTGATAGTTCAGCGTTGTGTGCGCGCTGGGCCAGGAAGGCTTTGGAGGGCCTGCTGTTGCCTCAAAACCATCGCTAGCCAACACAGCGGAGCGGGCGCCAACCCGCACAAGGCTTGCGAATCATCTCCCAGTCGAGTGGAGACAAGACGCCTGCCCTCCAGTAAGACCCTGGCACGGGAGGCTTATACCAGGAAGTAAGGTGCCATCGCCCAGCCAGAGATGCACATTTGTGCTTGCGATCATCACAGCAGGCAGGGAGCGGGCCCAAAGGCGGACAAGCCCCCTGCCTGTGCGCGGGGAAGGAAAGGTTGCAAAAGGTGCTTGCTATATTTCAAGGACACCACCCAGGTTTTGCATCGGTTAACTGCTCAGAGCCACACGCCGTACAGGGAGAAGGGGTGTGTGTGTGCGCGCACGCGCCATACGGGGAAAAAGGTGTGTGTGTGTATGCGCGTGCACGCGCCATACAGGGAAAAGGGGTGTGTGTGTGTGTGTATGTACGCGCACGCCATACAGGGAGAAGGGATATGTGTGCACGCACACACGCACCGTACAGGGAGAAGGGGTCTGCGTGTGTGTGCATGCACGCGCCGTACAGGGAGAAGGTGGGTGTGCGTGTGTGTGTGGAAGCAGCTTTATAATATGAAAGGGGCTCCAAGAACCACCCTAGATACCTTTGTGACCCTAAGATCAGTTGATCTCACAAAACACTTATGGGAAGCGAAGATTCATTTTTATAGGCTACGTGCCAAGAAAGGGAAGGATTCTAACTTGGAGAGTGAGTCGCTTCCTCTCTGCTGTAGCCTAGCTCCGACAGCAAGGGGAAGGAAGTGGTTATGGAGCACACACACACAGCGTGACAGCGCTAAGACTTGTACCAAAGGACTGGCACTGGTGCAACCCGGCCTTTTCCATTTCGAAGGAAACCGCTGAGCCTACAACACCTGCCCCAGCCTCAGTCCTGGTAAAACTGTCTAGACTAAAGACAGGTGGCAAAGAGTTGAGATGATGTGGGAAGGAAGGGTCAGAAGGACAAGCAGCATGGCAGGAAAAAGTTAGCGCCCCAGGTACGCTGAGGACTTACCAGTGAGACTTAGCGAGCAGCTGAGTTTTTGTATAGCGAGCAGCTGAGTCGTGAACCCAATACAGTATTCTCTTCCTCTCAAACATGTTCACTGAGCGTGCAGCGTAACACTACATCCGGCATATACCCGTCACACGGAGCCCTATGAAACCTTAGTTCCTGCAACACACGAGTTACATTTGCATCTTTCACCAAGACTTTCGTTCCATCCACAAGGTGGAGCCAGGCTGGCCACAACGGTACCAAAATCGTGATTTAAATGCCACTGGACCAGTTGTGTGGGACGATGACCCTGGTCTGGGAAACACGATTTCTGTAACAGCCGCAGCCACCAGGGGGCGGGGGCGGAGGGGAGGGCCTCACAGCTCCCAAAGCTCAACACTGCCCCCTGCCAGCCAGCAGCACTTGTAGCTCCGATTCACGCAAGGGCACCGACTGCTTTTCAACTGATGGTTGCGATTGGACTATCCCTACGCTGCACCGTAGAGGCAGCAAGCTAGAGTAAGCCCGTAACGATTCAGCCTTCACAGCACGTAGGGCGTGGCACCAATCGGAAAAGGAATAGCCAATCCAGTTGGATCTGCCTTCATCACAAACTCCCCGTGCAGTGTGCACCTGTGTGAGTGATGCAAGAGCCCTTCCAGCTGACGGATCCAGACTGGACGCTGCTGCTTTGGCATGCCACAATGAAAAGTGCAGCCAGCAGCCTGTGAAGGGCCCTTCCTAAGCATACGTGCACTTCAAAAGACTTACAGTGCCCCCAGCTGACAGCACTGTGGGCTTCTCAAAACACACCTGACAGCAGGAGTTTAGCGTGAAAAGCTGAGCACTGGGCTTCGCTGCAGGCTCACACCCATCTGTACAAACAACTAGGTGTCCTGGGTGGGACTTTCTACCTCACCCTTAGAGACTAACAAAATTATCAGGGCATAAGCTTTCGTGGGTAAAACCCACTTCATCAGATGGATTGGAGTGGAAGTTACAGAAGCAGGAGTGAATATAAAGGAAGATGCTGCTCGTGTTAATGAAGCTAATCAAGTCAGGGAGGAAGATTAGCATCGTTTACACAACCAACTTCTTCTGTATATATACTTCTGTAACTTCCACTCCAATCCATCTGATGAAGTGGGTTATAACCACAAAAGCTTATGCCTGGTTAGCCTCTAAGGCTACGTCTTTCACTATGCAGAAGATGGACTCTTCAGCGATCGATCTTCCGGAGTTCAATGTAGTGAGTCTAGTAAAGACCCGATAAATTAAACTCAGAGCGTACCTTTGTTGGCGCTGGTACTCCTGCTCTCCATGAGGAGTAAGGGAAACGGATGCGAGTGTTTGTTCCCAGCAGCTTCCGGTGTGAAGACTATGCAGAAACTCAAATTAAGGTCCATCAGCTCCGGCTACATAAGTAACAGCTGGAGTTGCACATCTTCAATTTGACCTTCCCACAGAGTGAAGACATGGCCTTAGGTGCCACTGGCCCACTCCTTGGTTTTGCAGATACAGAGTACCGTGGCCACCCCTCAGACTAGTCTGTGCAGCCAACACAGGTATGTGGAATGAGGAAGAGAACTTTTATCTGCCTGGAAATGGTCCTGTGATACATTGTCAATATGGTTCTGCTTTTACTCGCTAGCCACAGCCTGATTCAGTTCTCCCGCAAGGGAAGCAGAGAGGCAGTTTTCACACTCAGAGCTACTTTTCCATTTTTAGCATTCGTTTTAGTACTCACGGAAAAGTAACGGTGGGACTTTCTACCTCACCCTTAGAGGTCCAGCATTCAAACATCTTCCCAACACACTACTCCAACCTGCACTGATCTGAGAGGGAGAGGGGGAAGTATGGTTCAGCTATGTCGGGTGGGGCGCAGGGAGAGAGAGATTACATCCAAGTGGTAACGACAGACATCTCCGCCTTCAGAGGCTAATGTTCAGAATCTGTAGCCAGAGGCCATCTTCCGCATCCTTAGGAACGTTGGGAGTTGACTTCCTCTGTAGATGAGAGGATTATTCCAGGAGTGGGTGGGTGAGATTCTGTGGCCTGTGTTGTGCGGGGGGTCGGACTGGATGATCATAATGGTCCCTTCTGACCTTAGAGTCTATGAGACTCGAGAGCCTCCTCCTGCAGTGTCGGGATCCTCGTTAACTGGAGGTTTCACTCAGTGAAGTTCCGTGAACTTTGCCCGCATAGTAGCTCAGCACCGAGTCGGTCTGCTTTGTCAGAAGAACACTGAGGGGAATTCTTGGGTGGGGAAAATAAGCAGGAAGAATTCCCCTGGCTGAACTCCGAAGAGGGACAGTACGCAGTAAGATGGTGGGGGACGTAACAACTTCACCACTTGCTGCTAGAAGCAGGGACGAGGTAGAGCTGGTAGTGGCTGGCAAGCCATGCCAACACCTCCCAAGCCACTTCTAGACAACTAGGAACTTTGTTGTACTTTTATAGTCCAGTCGGAAGCCTCACAGGTATTCAAATGTCTGAATTTTACACATACACCTAGGTTATGTCTAGACTGCAAGCCTCTTTCAAAAAAGAGCGTCTAGACTGCAAGCAGTACTTTCGAAAAAGCAAGCCGCTTTTTCGAAAGAAAGCAGCGAATGAGTCTGGATGCTCTCTTTCTAAAAAGCCCTGTTGGCATTCAAGAACGCCTTTTTTCGAAAGAGCACTTTCGAAAAAAGGCGTTCTTCCTCGTGAAATGAGGTTTACCGCCGTCGAAAGAAAAGCTGCGTTCTTTCGATTTAATTTCGAAAGAACGCAGCTGCAGTCTAGACGCATGTGATGTTTTTTCGAAAAAAGGCTTTTTTCGAAAAACCCCGAGTCTGGACACAGCCCTAGGTAATACTTCTCTCTGTCTTGACAGCGCTGGTTGGTGATAGCTCTGATCATACAATATCTTTATAGAAACATGCCTGTTTAGTAGATGTTTGGGGCACTAGTATATCATGCAAAGATTTAGAGAGGATAAAAATGTGGGGCCATCATATTAGCTTGTTGTAAGATCAGATACATGTCACATTTCAGGGCTCACAACTTGAAAAGCTTAGCATTTACTAGCTTGACTTTGAGACAATAATAGAGTGAGGGATTATAACCCATTTTAAAATACAGCCTGTTTTTCCTAGACTATCACTGTGTATGCAGAAATAACCGCTCAATGGAACATCAGCCCATTCAATACCTTAGAGGTTACAGCTTTTCCTAATTGGCTGTGCTTTTGTTTTCCAATGTTTACTGGTGAATCAAGCACAAGTCCAGTTGAAAAAAAAAATCAGACCATCATGTAGAGGTGCACCGGCGTCTAATACTGTCATACTGCCTTTCTGATTTACTACAGCCAAAGGCGAGTACAAAGGGACCTGACAGAGCCAAATGAAGCAGCAGAAGACAGCTATAAAAAAAGGCGGATAGAGTTCTTATTTCAATGTCTCCCCTATGGTCTAATGGTTAGGATTCATGGTTTTCACCCAGATGCCCTGGGTTTGACTCCTGCTATGGGGAGTATTCACTGGACTAAATTGCCCAGGGAGGTTGTGGAATCTCCATCATTGGAGTTATTCAAGAGCAGGTTAGAGACACACAATGGTTCCCAAACTTTTTGGCATCACGCCCCTCTTTTGATTTTTGAGAAACCCTCACTCCCCCTCCCCCAAAAAAATAGCAAAACTTGGAGTGGGATTGACGGGGCTGTGTGTGGCTGGGTCGCCTTGTGCCCCCCTTGGAATTTCTTCACGCCCGCCCCAGGGGGACATACTTCCCAGTTTGGGAACCCATGGTCTAGACAGTGCTTGGTCCTGCCGAGAGGGCAGGGGACTGGACTCGATGACCTCTCGAGGTCCCTTCCAGTTCTTGTGTTCTATGACTGAGTGCAACATTTTCAGGGGGCAACGAGACCTGTTAGCTCATCTGACCTCCTTAGACTTCTTCTTTGCCCTTCTCTGCATCGCCTTGCTCAGGAGGAGCAAGACCTGAATGTAAGAACTATATCTTACGGGACTATTACTTTCAGCTCCTGCTGTACAACACAGATGATCTTCATTCTGGTAAGCCTAAAATCATAGCCACAAAAAGGATTACACATGGTCTATGACTCTTCTGCATTAAATGAACATTGACACAGAAGAAAATCTCTCTCAAATGAGGATCTGGTTTAAAAGGCCCAGTAATACAAAGAGAGAAATGCAGCTGTGTATAATGCAAAACCACAACATTTAAAAAAAATCACTTCCAGAACTCTGGAAATCAAAGTTCCTGGTAGCAAAAATTTATTTCCATGACTGAAGACAAGGAGAAATTTATAAATGTATCCCAGCAACTTGTTGATAAAATAGTAATATTCCATCCTTGTGATTTATACAATCTGAAATACAGCAAAACACCCACAAAGGCGTCAATGTGCGTGACTACAGCAACCAGGCTTATCAGGCCAAGTGCAAATCACCTGCCCTTGCATCTTCCCCAACCCCTCGTGTGCCAGGAAGTCTCTCTTGAAGGTCCACTGTGTATCCAGACATTATCCGAGTGACTAGTGTCCAATGTTAAAAGGAGAAAAAAAATAAAGAAGATTGCGGTGGTAAGCAGCACACTCATTTCAAAGCCCACACAGACACCCACATTGTTAGATTCTCCTAAAAAACCCTGCAGTTCCAACTTTTCACCCCCAAAGACCATGTGGCCTGGCCAGTGTTCAGCGCATGAGCAGACTGTGCTTTGGTCCATCCACTCTCTCCAGCTTCTCAAAGTGTTTCCTAGCGTTGCGGATGTTGATCAGTGTAGCTGCAGAAGCTAGTGGGAAGAAGAGGCGAGAGAGGAAAGGTTGTGAGTAATTAGATCACCAGGAGTTCACACACGCAGAATGGGAAGCGACTCTCTAGGAAGGAGTATGGCAGAAAGGGATCTAGGGGTCAGAGTGGACCACAAGCGAAATACGAGTCAGCAGCATGACACTGTTGCAAAAAAAAGCAAACACGATTCCAGGATGCAACAACAGGAGATTTGTGAGAAGTCACAATCTACTTTGCGCTGATTAGACCTCAATTGGTGTATTGTGTCCAGCTCTAGGCACCACATTTCAAGAAAGATGTGGAGAAATTGGAAAGGGTGCAGAGAAGAGCAACAAGAATTATTAAAGGTCTAGAAAACATGTCCTATGAGGGAAGAATGAAATAACTGGGCTTGTTTAGTTTGGAAAGGAGAAGACTGAGGGGGGACATGATAGCAGTTTTCAAGTACCCTAAAAGGGTGTTACTAGGAGGAGGGAGAAAATTTGTGCTCCTTGGTCTCTGATTTTAGGACAAGCAGCAATGGGCTTAAACTGCAGCAAGGGAAGTTTAAGTCAGACATTAGGAAAAACTTCCTAACTGTCAGGATGGTTAAACACTGGAATAAGTTGCCTAGGGAGCTTGTAGAATCTCCATCACTGGAGATATTTAGCATTAGGTTAATTAGACATCTATCAGGGATGATCCATTCTAGACAGTGCTTGGTCCTGCTGTGAGGACAGGGAACTGGACTTGACTTCTCACCGTTCCTTCCAGCTCTAGTGTTCTATGAAACACAAGCTTCCTGGGAAGGTTGGTTAGGAAGGTTCTCCATAGCGTACAATGCAGGGGGATTGGTTCACCGCAGCAGGACTGAAGCCACAAAGCTCCGTGGTTTTGGTTCAGGTTACCCCCAAACTCCATAACTATAGGTTTCACCGAGTGAAATAAACAAGATGAGTTACCACCTTGTTTAGCACTAAAGAAGGAATATTTTACAGTGACCAGTGTCGGATTTCACTGATCCAACTCTGGAGAGGAAAACTGAGTGATGGAAACAGGACTGTCCCTCCTAAAGGGCCTAGTGCTTAAGAAGATGTCTAATGAGCTCTAGCTGGTCTGTTCTGCTACTCCAAGGTCCTGGAGGATAGACTGTAGGGGGTACAGCAAGCCGGTTCAGGTTGTTCTGCCGGATGATGCCAGAGTGGCACCGTTTGAGACCCGAAAGGCCATCACCCTAGTGATGGTGTACTATACTGATGCAAGGTCTGTTAACAGGAATTGGAATTATGGGAAGAAGTTGTGTTAACTTTTTCTTAGCTTCCCACACGTCTGCTTCCAAAGGATAATGTCACAGCTGGTAGCAAGCCCCCGGTCTGGTTGAATTAAGTGTATGGGGCTAACTTGATAATGGTAATTAAAAAAAAAAAAAAAAGGCAAATCGTGGCACCAGGCCCATGAGCCATAGCGAAGTCTCCGATCGTGTAACACAAATAGCAGTTTCCCAGTGAGCAATAGGAAAATATTGTATACACAAGGGCCCGCACACTCTGGCTGTAAACAACGGTAACTGTACCCATCCATTTCTTCTTTAGCTAAAAAGGGAAACGCAGCCATAACTGAAACACTAACAAAGCAAAGACATTCACCTAGGAAATGCCCAAATTCTAGTTTAGGCCCCAAACTCCCAACCCAGCTGCCAGATGAGGTCCGTCAAACAATATTGACTGTTTGCAGTTTCACTGAAAGAGACGGGTTACCTGCCATTCGTATCGATCACCATGCTGAGAAACAGAAGAGAGGACGACACGCAAAGATCATACTGTTTGCAGTGCATGATCAAGCCTCCTTTCAAGCCATGTTCCCAAACCGTGGTGCTGACCAGTTAACACATGTCAGGCCTACCCACAGTTCCAGAACTCAACTGCTTTCACTGTCCTGGGGGACGGGTTGATTGTATAGCGTACACAGGTGCTCATTTACGGTATCAAGAGCCAAATGCCAGTGTAACTCGCTCTTGGCCCCTGTAAAAATGACACAATCGATGCCTAAGCATTATTAAACTTACGTATGGAAGGGTCAGACATGACCACCATGACATATGTGTTTGATGTGAAGATGTCAATAAAAGCAGCAAAGTTAGAGTTCCTGACTTCCATGCTCTGGAAAGAAGCCGCCAGCTTACTGTGAGGAGGAAAGAAAAGTGAATTAACTGCTGTTACGAGACCCTTTCAGAAGCATGTACATAGCACCTCATGTCTAAAGACCAGGTTAATCACATCATAACAGCACAGCTTTGTCTGTCAAATAAGAATTGAGCCAGCAGGTGCCACTAGGTTTTTTTTTAATCTGTCCAACACAAAATAGCCACAGATGTTGTATTTACTTCCTGGTTACAAAGCTTGAATACAATGTAAGCAAGGCTCTCTAGTCAGTGCTGACTGGCGAGCGTGTTAGAGTTCTCTCTTTTTACACTCAAGTCAATTAAAAAAAAGTTTTTACGCTGCACAATGATTGGCTGACCCGTTTGCTTGAGTTTACCAGTGCACGCGGGAACCGTTCAGCACAAAGTTGACAATAGCAGAATGACCTGGGACCCACAAGAGAAAAGAGTAATGAACTGAAGACTTTGGAAGCAGCCTACTAAATCACGCATGTAGCAATTCAGCTGCACCTGCCCTATTAGTACTTAAGGGCATAAGAACAGCCAGACTGGGGCAGACAAAGGCCCATCTAGCCCAGCGTCCTGTCTTCCAACAGTGGCCACTGCCATATGCCCCAGAGGGAGTAAACAGAATAGGGTATCATCAAGTGATCCCTCTCCTGTCACCCATTCCTAGCGTCAGAGTGAGGCTAGGGTCACCATTCCTACCCATTCTGGCCAGCAGCTATTGATGGACCTAACCTCCATGAATTGATCTAGTTCTTTCTTGAACCCTGCTAGTCCTGATCTTCATAACATCCTCTGGCAAGGAGTTCCACAGATTGAATGCGTGCTTCATGAAGAAAAACTTTCTTTTATTTGTTTTAAACCTGCTACCTATTAATTCCATTTGGTGACCCCCTAGTTCTTATGTTATGCTAAACCTTTTCAAATATTAGGAGTAGAAGGGCAAAAGTGGAGCAATTTGGGGGAAAACACTATTTTAAAGCTTAACTTTGCCTTACGTCCTCTGTCTTCCTTTTCTGACTGTTGCTAAATTTGTTTGGACAAGTGCTTCCTCTCTCAAATCAGCTTTTTGGTTCTCGCGCCCATAACTAAGTGCTTATCTTAGATTTACAGTGCCAGCAAGGGTTGTCATTAACTGCCACTAGGTCACGAGTTCAGTGCTGTAGCTTCTCCGCAGAGCCCAGAAGAGGGGGAACGGGAGCAAAACCATTCACAACAAACCTCTTTCAACGAGCACCAAAAGAAAACAAGAAAGGCATGAAAAACAGAACGAGGGTTAAGTAGGATACATTCTAACACCTCTTTGAATAAGAACTTTTTGGGTGGTCTGTTATTCATAGAACCATTACTCACTTCAAAGCCTATTTGTGCTACAGAGACGTTACCAGGCATATCTGGCTGGACAGAGTCATCCTGTCTGTCTCGCCAAGGCAGATGATCAATGCAGCAGAGTAGAGAAGATGGCACTGACCCCATCTGAAGATTTCCAAGTCTTAAGAACATAACTACACAGATAATCCATCTCACCTGCAGCTCAGCTTGAACTGTTTAATAATGTTGCTGATTTTCTCAAATCTGTGGATATCGCGCTGTTCTTTGCATTGATAATGGGAAATAACCTGCAAGGAAAAGCGCCACAACTTAGCAATCAAAGCACAAGCTCTTCCCGTCCACCATATTTTCTAATAAGCCCCGAGGATCTCGTCCCCCGCAGTAGGATTCATCGTGCCCCCCGAGACAAGGAGAGGCAGAATGCCATTCGGAAAACTGTCACTATGGCAATTTAGATTGTATTTACATTTTAAAAAAATAATAATTTAAACTATTTAATTGCATCGGTGACACCAAACCTCTTATTCTTCAGCAATACTATAGGATTGTGACGCATTTTGTGCAAAATAAGTCATGTGGGAAAAGCTGGATGTGTTACGATAATCAAATTTGTACGCATCATTTTTGTATCAAGTTAGGAATATTGACTATGTATCTATTTCACATCCTGGGCAACGCCCACTAAGCAACATGCTCTCAATCTAGGTGGTGGGCCAGGAAAGATAATGAGTCATTAGGAGGAAACAACAAGACTTACGAGAAGCGTATTTTCTCGAGAAGGCTACCGACAGCCTTGCAGGAACAACTGCTGTGACACTAGAGACATGTGACCAGCTCATCTGGTGCTAAACTCCATCTGGGCACGTCAGTATTTTTCCACTGACTGGCATGGGAACCAAGCTTTGAAAGAAAGGATTCCCGCCCCATGCAAAAGCTATGTAAGGGGGGGGAGGGACATCACTTCCTACCCAAGACGACTCATGGAAATGGACCGAACTAGGGGAAGAGCTGGGCTCAGGCTAAAGGGATTTTTAGCCTGGGAGTGGAACACTTGGGGATTCCAAGCTGTACCGAAGGGCAGCTTGCCCCTTAAGAATCTGCAGCCTGCTTTTATTTCCTCTTGGGGCGTGGCTGCGAATAGCAGAATCTGTTAGTCTAGCTATCTTTTGTAGTTAATACACTTGCGCCTGCTTTACCTAAAGCCAGCGTCTAGGAATCATAACTTGGAGGGAGAAGCTGCTGCATATTCCTCCCCACTGAATTTGATGTAATTT